GAATTTTTTCCCCTTTTACAATAAAAATTCCTTAATTTTCCCTGGCAGTTACCCCTCGTACATGCCCATCCTGCAGAGAGCCATCGAGCTCTGGTACCACGACCCCGCCTGCACCACCCCTGTCCTCAAACTCATGGCTGAGCTGGTCCATAACAGGTAGAAAATCCCAAAATTTCTCGGAATTTCTTGGAATTGTTGGGATTTAAATGGGATTTTGAGGTGGTTTTGTTCTTGGCTGTGTGGTTGGTGGTTTGGGGTTTTTTTTTCTCGTTGTTGGTTGAGGTGATGAGGGAGTGGGGGAAGGAAAAGAAGGGAAAAAAAGGGATGAAGGAAGGAAAAAGGAAAAAAAGAAGGAAAAAAAGGAAGAAAAAAGGAAAAAAAGAAGGGGAAAAAGGAAGAAAGAAAGAAAGAAAGAAAGAAAGAAAGAAGGAAAAAAGAGAAGGAGAAAAAGAAAGGAAAAAAAGAAGGAAAAAGGAAACAAGGGGAAAAAAAGAAAGGAAAAAAGGAAAAAAAGAAGGAAGGAAAAAGAAAGAAAAAAGGAAAAAAGTTAAAAAAAGGAAGGAAGGAAAAAGAAAAAAGGAAAAAGAGAAAGGGGAAAAAAAGAAAAAAGGGGGAAAAAGGAAAAAAGAAGGAGAAAAAAGGAAGGAAAAAAAGGAAAAAAGGGGAAAAAAAGGAGGAAAAAAAGAGGAAAAAATAAAGGAAAACTGGGATTGTTTCACAGGGAAGCAAATCCCACATTTAGGATTCACCACCACAATCCATCACCCCTGGATATTTCCATTTCCAAGGGCAGCGATCTGGCAGGAAATTTTTAAAAATTCCCTTGAAAAACCTCATTATTCCAAACGAATAAAATTGAAAACCCTTCTCCTCAGCAGCCCCTTGGATTTTTGCAGCTCCAGCTCCGTATTTTTTTTTTTCCAGGAGGGATAAATCAGGAGCTGAGCTGGCTCTGGGATGGTGCCAGGGGGATGCTCTGGCTCCTGTGGGATGGGACAAAGGGAAAACCCAGAAATTTTGGGATTCTGCTGTGCTGGACATGATCCCAACTGGAATTCAGCCAGGATTTCATTCCAGAGCTTCTCACTCAGCCAATGGAGGGGGAAAAATGACCCTGGAGCTGTGAGGAGCAGGAGGAGCGAGGCCAGGCTGCTCCAGGGTGTTCGTGGGGCTGTTCCAGGGCAGATTCCAACCCCAATCCCAGAAAATTTATCCCATTTTATTCCCCAAATCCCAGGAATCCGGGCCCTTCCCTGGCAGCACAGCTYCTCTGTGCCCATTTGGCACTGCCAGGGATTTTCCAGCGTTGTGGGGAGCTCTGGGGGCATCTTTAGGGTCAGAGTGGTCACTCTCAGTTTGCTGTGGTTTGGGATTTATGGGATCATGGAATGGTTTGGGTGGGAAAAACCCCAAATCCCATCCCATTCCACCCCAGGGACGCCTCCCATTGTCCTGGGGTACTCCCAGGGATCCTGGGGCTCCTCTGGGAATTCCTAATTCCCAAAATCCCATCTAAAATCCCATTTCTGACCCCATTCCCTGTGTCCTGTCCCTCCATCCCTTGTCCCCAGTCCCTCTCCAGCTCTCCTGGAGCCCCTCCAGACCCCAAAAGGGGCTCTGAGCTCTCCCTGGGTCCCTCCCTTGGGTCTCTCCCTGCTCTAGGCCTGGCTCAGTTTAGGCTCTGACCTTTCCCTGTTTTTCCCAGATCCCAAAGGCTGCAGTTCGATGTCTCCTCTCCCAACGGGATCCTGCTCTTCCGGGAGACCAGCAAAATGATCACCACGTACGGTGAGGATCGGGGCCTGGGTAAATCCTGGATATCCTGGGTACAGCCTGGGTAAATCCTGGGTACAGCCTGGGTAAATTCAGGATATCCTGGGTACA